CCCCGATGATCGCAGCAAAGGCCGCACTAGTAGCTTGAATCTGCTGCACATTCTTCAGCTGATCTCGGACGCCACTGCTGTCACCACCGGAGTCAGCATCGCCCCAGGTCACAACGGAGCCATCCCCGATGATCGCAGCAAAGGCCGTATTAGTAGCTTGAATCTGCTGCACATTCTTCAGCTGATCTCGCACAACACTGCTGTCACCTCCGGAGCGGGCACCGCCCCAGGTCACCACGGAGCCATCTCCGATGATCGCAGCGAAGGCATCTTCGGTCGCTTGAATGTGCTGCACAGTCTTCAGCTGATCTCGGACGCCACTGCTGTCACCACCGAAGGCAGCAACGCCCCAGGTCACGACAGAACGATCCCCAAGAGTCGCAGCAAAGGCAAACTGTGTTGCTTGAATTTGCCGCACATTCTTCAGCTGATCTCGCACAACACTGCTGTCACCACCGTCAGTGCCCCAGGTCACAACGGAGCCATCCTCAATGATCGCAGCAAAGGCACCGTCCGTCGCTTGAATCTGCTGCACATTCTTCAGCTGATCTCGCACAACACTGCTGTCACCTCCGGCGCGGGCACTGCCCCAGGTCACCACGGAGCCATCCCCGATGATTGCAGCAAAGGCAAACGGTGTTGCTTGAATCTGCTGCACATTCTTCAGCTGATCTCGGACCCCACTGCTGTCACCACCGAAGGGAGCATCGCCCCAGGTCACAACGGAGCCATCCCCGATGATCGCAGCAAAGGCCGCAGTAGTAGCTTGAATCTTCTGCACATTCTTTAGCTGATCTCGGACGCCGCTGCTGTCACCACCGGAGTAAGCATCGCCCCAGGTCACAACGGAGCCATCCCCGATGATCGCAGCAAAGGCCGTACTAGTAGCTTGAATCTGCTGAACAGTCTTCAGCTGATCTCGCACAACACTGCTGTCACCTCCGGAGCCGGCACTGCCCCAGGTCACCACGGAGCCATCCCCGATGATCGCAGCGAAGGCACCACTAGTAGCTTGAATCTGCTGCACATTCTTCAGCTGATCTCGGAGGCCACCACTGAAGTCAGCATTGCCCCAGGCGACGACGGAGCCATCTCCCTGGATCGCAGCAAAGGCAGCGGTTCTGAGGCCGCCACATATATCGACTTCTCGAACCTGCAGCGTGAGCGGCTCTCCATTTTGCAGCATGGCCTTCTTTAGAGGCGCTCCTTCATCAAGAAAGCTTCCAGTGGAGGACAAGAGACGACCTTTTCCAGCTCGCAAGGCTTTCTGTGCACGCACCCTGAAAGATTCCACAGATTCGTCTCCGTGTGTCTCCAGCGACACAGTCTTGCCACTTATGAGGCATACATCAAGCGTAAACGACATGATAAGGACTCTAGTGCATCGTCAACATACCAAATCCCAGGAGGTGTGTTGTGTCGAAGGGTACAAGTACAACCAATTCTTCAGTGAAGCCTGCCCTCAACCCTAAAACCGTAAAGCCAACCCTAAAAACGCTAAAGCCCTAAAGCCCTAAATCCTAATCGAGTCGACGCTGTTGCAAAATGGCTTCGGCTGATTACATACTTTGCCGCTTTGGGAACGGTTTAGCACTTAGAGTTTAGGGTTTAGGCCCCAAGAAGCGACTTGCGAAGGCGGGAAATGGCTGTGATGCCATTATGTTTACTTTACTTGGTGGCAGCCTCATCTGGCCCAAAATCAGAACTAGGTGGTTTGGGTCTACGCAGGGCTTGGAACGCCTGTTTGATTACGCGGATGGATTCTGAGGGGCTTTGGAGATGCTTTAGCAGCAAACCCTCCTCACGTGATGTAGGGGCCTTAATTAACAGGGTTTTGGGGTCCCCATTATATTCTGTTTATAATAAGGAGCCCCCTGATGAAGCTTGTTAGTGCTGATTTTCTTAGTAGACTGTCAATGTGCATAGTTAGCCCCTCCAACATTTTGCTATTATAATCACGAAAGTGTTCCTCATGATAGTACACGCAGAACTGATAGACTGGTGTTACGTCTGCGGTGCCTCAGTGTTTTATCATTGGCAATCAAACGAGCAGGTAAGCGATCAAGCCACTTCGCAACGAAGTACACCGTTCGAGGATGACGATCAACATTATAGTGATTATCCAAGCTCGTGAAAGATACTGTCGTTACTGACGCGTCAGGTTTATTCCTCACTTGACATGGATTCTGACTTACGAGTGGCTAGTTGGGACTTCATTATCGGCTAAGCTTTCTTTGGTTTACATTACAACGTCTAGGTTCTTTACCATTCAGTCTTGTCTGAGAACTGATTTCGTCATGGCTGTGGCATCCATGACTGCCTTCAGCGGTCGGAGGCTCGGGGGATTTTTGTTTGGGCCTCCCTTGCCGTCGGAGAGGTACGGGTGTATAGGTTGCTTCAAAGGGCCACCCTGAGCCTGCTGCGAGAGTTGTGAGATGCTTGTCCGGGTTGAAGCCGGACCTGCGTCGAAGTCACAGCCCGGTCACGCCAAATAGCCACGAATGCTTAAGCTACATGATCACGCAACATCAACTGAACAGCAATGATTGTGCCGGGTAGTTCTCACACCAAACTAACCCTATGCAATGGGAACTACGCTGATGTTCAAACTAAGAACTTTGCCATTGGACTTCTCTCGTGCTAGAAAGCTCTGAGGCGATGGCTCGGGAATCGCCTCAGTCACAGGAGGGCTCAGGGATTTCGGAGTTCTTCAGGGGCGGACCACGGTACATAGTTGACACAAGGGAAAAGCTTCGGAAGTCTAAGAGAACCAAAGCTTCTCTTGTCCCGATCCCTTGAACCTGCACAGAAAGCCCTGACAGAGCTCCGAGCCAGCGAGGAAAGTGTCTTGAAGCTTCCCGTCCGCGTTGGCGGGGCGGGCAAATGAAAGGAGGGCCTCAGGTGCTGTATGTGCAGACGACTAGAATCGCAATGTTGTTGTGACATGGAGCGATACGAATCCTCAAAAACCCAAAATAGATAACATGAAAATATATACAACAATGTGTGCAGCGCATGCATGCCAGCACGATACAACATGGCCAACGGAGCGAAGGCTTTGCCCCCCCCCCGCCGCATTTCAAGGTCCAGGCACAGCCCACAGCGCGTCTGTGCTGCTGGCCTCAACTGAGACGAAATGTTGCGAGACATGAGCATTCTGAAAGTTAGTCTGCTCCATCATGTCCTGTACAGATCTTCCGTTGCTCCAAAATTTAACAAGTGCATCAGCAAAGAGTTTGAACATCGCCGGCTGCGCGAGACAGTGTGACTGCCTCCTGAGGCGGCTGCAAAACTTGAACCCTAGGTTCCGAAAAAGCAATCAACACCACTTGGACCTGTCCGTGCACGGCTGAGAACCGTGCCACAGTCGACTTGCTGCTACTTCTATCGGTCTTGCAGACATTGGTCTTGGCCATAGCAAGATACCTGGAGGAAGTGCGGTTAGGAGGTTCAGCACTGCTGTATGAACTACTAACTATTGAAAACAAACTTCGCATTCTGAACAGATGGACATACCAAACCTTGGCGTCACGACCCACATCTCAGGCTTATAAGGGATCGGCGGTTGCTGTATCCTACTCCAACACAACAGCGTTTGCAGTTCTCAGAACGCAGCAGCATTTACCACAACTCTTCCTGAACCCTTTGAACCAAGACTCCGCTGGCGACCCTCCGATCACTTGAGATCACCGTCTTCAGCCCTCGAACCCTGCGGGACCGGTGTCGGAATGCCAAGGCATAGCGCTCGCCGGCCATTCCGAAAATGAGCCTGGAAGGACTGGCTTGGCGGCTTAGGACCCAGGCTTTGGCAAGGGCTCTACAGAGTTGAAGGGATGGGGAGAGGCTGGAAGGTCGGCAAGCCTCTCGAACTTCTGGACATCATCGCCGGTGCCGGGGTTCCCCATACCCGTCAAGTCTACGATACCTTAGCTGGACTCTCGGCCTTCAACGACACTGCAGGCATTCCAGTTTTCCCAGATTGCAGCTAATGCTCACGCAGCTCACGCAACCCCAACGTCGCATGCTGAGGGCAGTACTGAGGGTACCAGTCTTCCTTGGGCAGACGTATAGCGACCTTACCTGTAGCCTTGGAAGCCTCCTCAAGTCTGAATTGTTGCTGCTACTAATAATCCGTACAAGTATGATACGACATAATGGATGCAAGAGATGGTCAGCCAGACAGAAAGCAAATTTACTGTCTGTCAGAAGTACATGGACGCACAAGTCCCTTGGTCATGTATTTATTCATCCATAGACCATGGCATGTCGAGTCCACGCACAATGGACTATAAGGATACTGATATTCATTTTGTCGCAGTAGACGAATATCGAACAGGCTGGGTATCTAGTTTTATGCCGTGGGTTCTTTCCTTATGCTCCTTATGTTCGTGCTGAGCCCCCCTCCGCGCCGGCATGCCCCGGGTCTGGTTTCAGGTGTTATGGAGAAGGTTGTCTTTTTGTGTTCATGGGTTCTTCCTTGTGCACACCCGGCCCCCGGCTTTTCCCTAGGCTTTTCTTCATGCTCGCCCCCCTTCGCCACCCCCCTGCGAAGACGCAGCTTTTGCGAAGGCAGGGCAAGTGGTTCAATTTTGGAAAGGAAGCCTACGGCTTCATGGCCCTCTGTCGTCTTCGAACTTTGCCTTGGAGGCTCTCCAAGCGACCACGCAATGGCCCTGAACAAGCAGGTAGCTCCAATGCAAAAACCTGCAATTTCCCTCGACAAACGCAAAACAAAACCTTAATATCAGGTAGTCGCAGGGTTCGTGGGGATTTCGCACGATTCAGAGGTCCGCGTGGCTTCCACGGGTTTCGGTGTTCTGCGAATAGTGCGAAAACCCAAGTTCTGCGGAGATTTGTTTGAAAGAACGCTTACCACCAATTTGCCTTTAAGACCGCGGTTGGAGGTTCTCCTAGGGTTCGAACGAAAAACCTTGCAATATCCCCAGCAGAAAGCAAGACAGCCAAAATCAGGCTGCGCAGATTTCATAAGGCCATAGGCCTTGTGCACAGTTTGTCTTTGTGAGTGTGTTTGCGGGCCACACGTGGCTTTTGCAGATTGACAGGGTTTTAGGTTCAGGGCGAGAAAACCAGGCTTTTGCAGAGGGATGGCAAAAGTGGATCAATTTTGGCAAGCGGTTTTATGGTTTGTCGGGTTCGGAGTTTGCCTTCAACCTTAACCTACCAAAACCCACTTTTTTGTAGGTTCTTATGATAAACCCTAATATGGGATTTATAGGGACCCTACAAAGTAGGTTCTGGTAGGTTTAAGAAGGTCGCAGTTGGAGGGTCTCTCAGGGGCCATGTAGTGGCCCAGAAGAAGCAGGCAGCTCGAACGAAAGCATCTGCAATATACCCTGCAAGCAAGACGTCCAAAATTAGGTTTCGGAGATTTCGATGCATGCGTTTGAGGGTTGCAGTGGCTTTTACCTATGTTCGAGGTTTTAATACGGCCTACGGCTTGCACAGGGAGGGCAAAAACGGTTCGTTTTTGAAACGACCTTTGTGGCAATATTTCGCGCGGAAGCTGTGCTGTGCGAGAAAATGCCTAGGCCGGCAATAGCAGAGAGTCAAGAAACTAACTATGTGTGTTTTCGGCTGCGTTTTGCGGCCTTCCCCACCCACGCGCTAGAGTTTCTTTTCTCCATATTGTCGTCCTCCATATGTGCTGTTGAGGAACCGGAACCGAAATCTGAGGCGTCGTCGCCCAAAAAACACCCCAAGCAAGAGTAATGCCTTTACATCACCATGCCGCCTTTCCTGTTCTGTTGGGGATACCTGGACAAGCACCGAACGAAGTTGGACGGTCAAAAAAATTGTCTTATACAGAAGTCAATGCTAGCCTTTGCCCTGCCACCTGCTGCTAGCACATTTTCCTGGTATTTCCGGAATAACCAGCCGCAGTGTCATCACATCTCTCATGATCCCAAGTTGATTTCCAGATCTGATCCCCGCAAAAGGCGAGGGTGTGTTTGGGGGAGCGGAGGAGGGGGGAGGGGGGGGGGGCGAGCACAGATAAAAACTAGGTTCTCATAATAAAAGACCAGGCGTATGGAAAAGACAGGTTCGCATAAGGGAAGTGAAAAAGGTAGAAGCCCACAGCGTAACGAATAAAAAAAAAACGCCCCGAACCGAACATACATGCCCACAGTCTTCAGTCTTGGATCTGGAGTATCTGGAGTATGGCTTGGAGGGCTGAGGCCGCATCTTCTCGTAGAGGACGTTGCTGGGGTGGAAGTCCGTGTGGTACGTGGCCTAGTGTCTTGCGATCTGTAGGATCGCAGTCACGAAGTACAGGTTGCGCTCAACTTCTGCTACAGACCCAGATCAGACAGAAAACGATCCACATCGCCATCGCCATCTCCGGAAAAGAACTGGCCCTGAGGCGGAAGTCCTCGATCTAACTGTATACTTGTCAAACAATGGATCATTCTGTCCATCCACCTACCTGTTCATCTACCTGCATTTATGTGTGCGCAATCACACATACATGCACCTATACACGGATGCAGCCGTACACGCATGAAACCATACCTACGCACACAGGAACAGACACACACACATGCTCCGGACCGCTACCTTTCCGGCTTTGTTCTCATTCAATCACCATGTACGCATGTGTATTCATATTTCTCAAGATGCTTCGGTGCATATGTGTGTTTGGACTTATAGGTTCATTCTTTTGTGAAGCATGTGCATTTACTTGTATACCGCTGTATACTTACATGTACAGAAATAAATATATACATATATATATATATACACATATACATACATCGATCTGTCTATCTATCTATATATGGCTAGGTAGATCTAGAAAGCTAGCCACACCCCCTGCAATTTGCATGCTCACGCGTTTCTGGTGTCGTACCCAGGGCGTACTGCTACATTGCAAATCTCATCTTATATCATATTGTACTGTGCCATGCTGTGCTATCATGCTGTATCACGTTTCGTTATCTGATTCTACTACATATCAGCATTTAACATGCCTTAAGGCAATATGTGACAGTTTATGTGGTAGATCGAAAACCTGTATGCTCTAGATCATGCACGGTACATGTTTGTATCTTGCATATTGTGGATTGAAATTGAAATATGAAACTTCGTGCTTCGCTATGCTTCAGTTGTGTTTCTTGGCCTATCTTATCTTAACCATGTTCTATGCCATATCAACCCCGATGCTTTTGTATGAGATTGTGTTAATGCGCTACATCACTTGTCAGGTTTATGCTTATACGTCTAGTTTTGCCTATTTTGGACGCTGTAGCCATGAGCTTCCTGCACATATTGCGATTCCCCAACTTGTAAGTTCCCATTGCCTAGGGTCCGTACTTCCTCTGCGCAGTGGTGAAGATGCTAAAATTGTAGAGGAGGTAATAGTTTATCGAAACACAACGAAACAAAATAGTATACAATAAGGCATGATACAATATAATTTCGTATGTATTGTACTATATACCACAAAAGTATTCGACTGACGTGACTGACGTAACTGAACATAAAAAAGAAAGAATATGGTATACAATACCATACGATATAATATAGCACAGAATGAAATATATAACATGTATTTTGCATACGTATATGTATACACTGTTACATATAAACTGGTGTATAATGTGATATACAATGTGATATACATGAGTTACATGGTATCCAGTATGATATCATACAAGACAATACAGTATAGTCAGTATAGTATAATTATGTATAATTTGTTGCAATATGATACGATAGAATAGACTAGAGTACAGTGAAATAGAGTAGAATAGGACTGGTTCCAGACAGACACACACACACACACTCACGCATCCGGACACACATGCACGCACATGCCTGCGCGTGTTTGCCTGCGTTTGTCTGTGTGTGTGTGTGTTTGCTTGCTTGCTTGCTTGCTTGCTTGCTTCCTTGCTTGCTTGCTTGCTTGACTGCTCTGTGGTGAGTTTGTGTGCTCGTTCGTGTGTGTGTGTGTATGCGTGATGCGCGTGTGCGCGCAAGAACCCAATTTTTTCTCTGTTAATCTGTATATATATATATATATGTCAATGTAAACTCAACTATGCGTTTGAACTTATGTTCATCTGCACCGTTGTTAGCCGTGAGCTTCCAGTTAACCTTTACCTCTGACAATGACTTATAAGCATCATAAATGATAGTGACTGACAGTGTTACTGTTCTGCACCTGACGTGCATTATTCTTTCGATCTATTTAATCATGCTTATTGATCTACATGCACTTGTTTGTACAACCACACACTTACATCTTGTGTTTCTGTAATACACAAAGACGAACAACTCCCCATGGGGGGCCTCGCCAGTGACCGGGTCAGCGTAGCGGGCGTGGAAGTCTGCCAGCATCTCGCCGACTCCTGCGAAGTAGTTCTCATTGCAGGGACGCCCCGACATACGTCAGACGTGGGCCTCTTTGAAAGCTCTGATCGCACTCATAAGATGCGTAAATCAGTCTGTTGAGACCAGTTCCCAACAATGTCACGATGGCCGAAGCGTCCCCTAAGACCCTAAGGCAAGGTGGAAGCAGGTTATTCTCTGCGGCTGTCTGCAAGACTTCCAATCAGGCATCTGCCGACCGTGGCCTCTCGTCCTCACCCCAAATGCGCAGGCGGGTACCCCACAGCTCACGTTTCCATGGAGGACCGGGAACCAACGCCGGACCAGTGAGCAATCGGTGGAAAGCACACATTTGGACCCCCTGAGCCTCTTTTCCCACCCTTCCCCTTCACCCATCCACTTTGAAAACACGCAAACCAGGGCATTCCAATGCCCAAACACACGAACAAACATCTCACTTCCCACCTAGGCCCCACCCATCTGAGAATCATCTGCCCCTCAGGCCAAACCCAAAAACAAGCCCTCCCCCCCGACCGCCGCTTTCTGTCCCGCTTACTATCCCCCCCGCCAACCACTCGCTGCGCCCCACCCCCGGTGACATGCCAACGCGGTGGCAAACAACAAAAAGCGCAACAAACTACACAACGATGTCCGCAACACATCGAAAACCACCCCAAGCAAACACGTCACCTGCCGCAGGTGCCCCGCCCCAGCACGGACTCCAAGGTTCAGGTGACGTGCTTCCTGATTGACCCCATGCAGGGTCGGCGGCTTGAGCTGGAGGCTCTTAGTACAGAAGTGCCCCATTCCCGCGCTCCTGCTGAATGCAGACGACAGTAGTGAAATGCGAAAGAAGAAATGCCGCCACGATGGAGTAGGATATCTTCGACGAATGATGATGCTGATGATGCGGATGATGATCAGGATGATTAGGATGATGATGATGATGATGATGATGATTAGGATGATGATGATGCTGATGAGGATGAGGATGAGCATGAGCATGAGGATGACGATGAGGACGACGATGAGGACGATGAGATGATGATGATGATGGTGATGATGATGATGACGATGATGAAGACTATGGTTAAAAATGAAAATGATAATGACAACGATGGTGACGATGATATGAATACGCGCAGAGAAGCGATGTCGCGAAATAGCAAGATTGCTCCTGCTGACATGTCTGACACAGGCAAGATGATTCTGTAGCATGTCTGGCCGAGCTGGGCCTGCACAGACCTCCTCCAGAGCGGTTTGGTCCTGGGACTTCGTTAAGTCCAGCTCTGCCAGGTACACACCTTGAATGCAGCCATGAACTGAACCAGTCGCCCTCACTGGAGCTCAATGCATAATGGGGCCCGGGCCTAGCTGGTCACCGGGAGCTCTTCGCGACACCAGAAGGTCTGCAACCTGGCTCTGCTCCGTGAGGCGCTGAGCGCAAACTGAATTTCGGTTTACCGTCGGGGGGGGGGGGTGTACGTAAGCAACATGGCATGGCTCCCTGCTCTGATCTGCTTTGTGTGTCAGCTCAGTCCGAGGCATGGTCGCTGGCCTGGCCATCCAGGGATTAGCAGGATGATGCTGGCCAGCGGCTCGCTGACTTGATTCTTGTTGTGCTGGGAGGATTGGACACGAGACAAAGCAAGAATGGACATCCTAAATTTGCTGCCGCGATAAATTCACATGCATGTAGCGTGCAAGTCTCGAACTTGCTCCGACACTTTCCATAATCTTTACAGGTGGGCCCTTGGGTAGCCTGACTGCTCCACGGAGCAGACAGCGAGTGGATTGCCACCACGCTGTGGGGAAAGGCCAACCTGTCGGTAAGGGCTGAGAGCTGAGAGCTGTTTCCTATGAGCCTTCACTCCCAACACCCGACCATTGTCGCCAGGACATGCCCTGAAGCAGTAGAAGGCCCATCGGCCTCTGATCTTCGACAATGCCCGGGAATTTGCGGATCAACCTCGCGAGACTCCGACGCAGGTTGCTGTGGGTCCACTCAGGCGCTTCGGTGACTTCATACACAACTGCAATCGTGACTGTAAGAACTGAGTGGTGTGGCGCATCACAGTTTTCTACGTCCGTCGGCACGCCCGAGTATCGCCGGCGCGCTGGGACCTGCAGAAAGAGAAGCAAGGCTGCGAAGATCTGCACAAAGTGGGCAGGGGTGGCAACTTCGATGTGGCCTTCTTGATCATCCAGCCCTCCGGGTTGGCAGGGCACGTGACAAGCCACACGGAATCGTTGATGCCAATCCGCCTGGCAAGGACTCTGCGAGCCAGGACTCAGGAAGTGTCAATGCATCTGGTTGCACGCGAAGGCCTTACACGGAAGCCACTAACGGCGGAGGTGCTGTCCAGCATCCTGCCCGCGGCGACAGACACGATTTGTAGTGTCGCATATCATGGAGAGATTGCATCTTCTTGAATGGCTCGGCAGTCTGAGTCTAGCAACAGCACTTCATACAGGATACATATCACCGTAGGCACAGACTCAGGGCTCATGCAGTCTTCAGTAAAAGGAAACTGTAGATAATCCAACTCTTCCGAAGCCTTCCTAGTCCCAGTCTGGCCTTGCCAGTTCGTTCAGGTGACTCTCAGGCACAAAGTCTAGGCACAAGCGGCAAGCTGTCGGCAGAAATTTCGAAGACTCAGAGCTCTGCGGCATCTCATGATCTGCCTATGACCTGAAGCGCTAGGCCCCAAGCTTCCAGACCTGGGCATGGCTATAACACGCAAGCGAGGAAACTTCACTGCGGACTGACTGAAGATGGGCCAGCTGGGCCAGCTGGGCCGGCTGGGGCTGGGGCGGGGCACGGATCTGTCCAAGCCTCTGTAGGCCCGGCCTCAGATCCAGGCACGACTTCTTCTTGCCTCTCTGAAAGATTCTAAGACCGCCTACCAAATTCCCCACTCATTGTGGCAACGTTGTGTGGTTCCTGCTTTCGGAGTGAAGTGAACTGGCCAGCTTTGCGCTAATCGCAAACGAACGCGTTCCCCCGCCGTGACGCGGTGCATATTTTGTTCTCGCTCTCTACGAGTATTATTTGCGAGGATGGCGGTGGTGGACCGAGGCTGGATTCATTGTAAATTTCACTTTATGGAACACAGTTTGGCCTCAAGGTGGGAAGCTTAGGTGCCATGCTCCTGAAATGCACCAGTACTGAGGGAAAGCCTTTTCTCTGCATGATCCGGTATGCGGAAGTACTTGGGGGAAAGTAGTTTGGACGTTGTCATGATGGTGTCGCAGTCGTCTCCAGGATGTCGTGGTCGTCGTCGTAGGGCTCTTCGTGGTGGTCCTGGTGGTGGTCCTGTCCTGGTGGTCCTCCTTGTCAAGGGCTCTTTGTCATCGCAGTGCTTTCTTTTGAGACCTGGCAGTTTCCGAAAATTAGGGGACCCTTTAGTACCCTAAATAATAGGACCCTTATTATAAGGGCCCCAAAATAAGGTACCCTAATTTTCGGAAACTCCCACCTAGCTGGCATTCTTTGAGCTCCGGGCTTGGCCGTGCCGGCCTTCACCGCCAGCGACATCTCGGATACCTCGCAGGCTCGGACCCTCCTCGCTGCCATCCCACAGCACACGAACAGGAAAATTCACAATGAGAATCAGAAGTTCTACTATGTTCTACTGTACTCGCTGGGTTTACCTTCAGTTTAGTTCATCAGTGCCCAAGTATGTGAAGCCGATGCCATTTGTGCAGAGACATGAGCTCTTCCAAGTATGTCTGGCAAGGCATCCTAGTGGGCGAAATGCGTCGGCTTTGGGTCACGTGCTTTGCTACGAGCGTCCGTTGCCGGAATTCATCGCGATACTGTAGTCACTACACCAGTTGCTCATGACTCAGAAACTTAGATGCTCAGAACCCTGCTGAAGCCTTAACTCCCAAGAAACCACCAAGACTGCTCCGAGCATGTTACCTAAACCCTAAACCCTAAACCCAGAACCCTAAACCCTAAACCCTGAATTACCTGTGTCCTCGGACGCTCTGCACAGGGGCCCCTGGCCTTTGCTCCTGTCTCGGCGGCCCAGGTTCTTCCCTACGGGACTTCCCTGGAGCCGAGGTGTTGCCGAGGAAAGAGCCGCCGAGGTCAGAGCTCCGGGTTGAAGAGGGTTTAGGGTTTAGGGTTTAGGGTTTAGGGTTTAGGGTTTAGGGTTTAGGGTTTAGGGCACTTCAAGCTAACTTGTGGAGTCTACTTCGCCTTTCATCCCAAGCCCGGCATGCAGGTGCGGCTCTTCGATTCTTTCGGCTGGAGGGTTCCGAAAGGAGTTTCTGTTCCTTTTCTCTTGAAAGCTCCCGGGGTCGATTGATTGCCAAAATGACCAGTTATACCCTGTCGGGCCTCTGCTATGTCTTACTCACCCTTCACCTTCCCCAAAAAAAGTGAACGAGAATTGCTTGAATTCTTGCGCATCTTGGACGAAATTGCACGAGGAGGCCACGGACGTTGTCCAGCTTCAGCAGAGTTCTTGCCCAAGGCCTATTGCCACCCCCACCCACTTTGATGCCGCGCGAAGAGATTGAAAATCCCTAGTGGTGAACAAGAGGGGCCGTCTGACAAAGGCAGAGGCACGTCTCGTCTGAAAACTGAAGGCTTCGCGAACTTGTGCCTTCAAACGGCGCCACACACTGTGACTGCTTTTTGATACGCACTCTGCGGAAAGGTTGGTATGGAGTCACAAGTGCTTAGCATGACAGCAATGCTCTTCACAAAGCTCGCGAAGCGTTGGTCATTAGCTGACAGGTCGCCGAGGCACCCGAGGACCAGCGGGCCTTATAACAGGAACCTGGCTTTCGGTATGCTCTTCAGCCGGCTGTGGAGCAAGCAGAAATCATCAGGCGACGCACACCTCACATCCAAACCTCGGTCTGCCGCTGCTATTGCCAGGAGTGTCTTCCTGCTCACCAGATCCTGAGCTCCGGGCGAACAGATTGAAAGCGCGTCTTCGCCACCACTTCGATCTGGCATGTAGAGGCTGTGCATCCCGAGAACCATCTCCTCATTTCAGGCCTTCTCTGGCTCCCCGCCCGTGGTGCTAGACACCACACCCTTCACTGTCTCCAAGAACTCGGCGCCTCATCAACACGTTAAGCAGCGAGAGATGCATACAGCGTACTGCAGAGGCCAGGGATTCCAGCCAGATGGTCCGATGACAGAGAATCGCTGCACACTGGGCCACTGCTTCTCCTGCAGATTAAAGTTCCCTTCAGACTCCAGCCAATCCATAGTTAATCATCAAGGCTTGAGCACGGCCGTAAAATGCCGGGTTGTTCGGGCTGTCTATAGCATGGCATGCGGCCACCGGTCGAAGTCTATCAATCAAAAAAGACAACACCTATGCACATTCGAAGCTCACCCCAGTCTCCTGTGCCAGCGCTTGCCAAATCTTTCCATATTCCTGCCGGGTCGACACAAGTCGCCATGGAGCTTGACTTGAGGACGCAAACCTGGCTTGCGACGGTTCTGTACATACTGTTGCAAAGAATCTGTCTCTACGATTAGATTACGAAGATCCTCTGCATGCTGCTGCTACTTGATACCGCATCATACCATGCAGCTGGCACGTCCCCTGCCCTGCCTGGACATCATAACCACGAGTAGCGTCCGGGCCCGCAGCCTCGTGGCCGCCCAATCCCATTTCATGTGGACTCGCGCTTTGCGCACCATTGATACCGCCAGGGCCGCTGGCATAACCTCCAAATGAAGGGAAAGGGGCACCACTCGCGACCACTGAATCTTGCATGTATGTGCAGATGATACGTATGTAAATGTATACACATCTAAATATGGGTGTATATAAAAATACAAGTATACAAATATGTTAGTGTATACATATACAAGCATGTATATAGGCGTTCGTAAATGTAGACATATGTAAACACCTAGGTATATAAAAAAAATCCTAAAAATACTTCTAAATATATGTGATGGTTTAGGTTAAGAGTAAAACTATGTAAACATGGAAATGCATAAATATATAAAAATAAAACATATACAGATGTATGACTCTATAACTGTATAACTGTATGAATATGTATGTACAGACATACATAAATAAATATATATATATATATGGTGGATGAATTGGTATAGATATGTTTATATTTCATATCTATATATACATCTATGTTTATATGTTTACTCTGTTATATACATATATACATACATATATGACATATATGGCATATATGACATATATGACATATATGACATATATGACATATATGACATATATGACATATATGACATATATATGTATATTTGTATACATACAGGTATGTATATATATATATACATCTATATTCCCCATATGAGTATGTAAATATGTATACACACACACCTATGTAGTGTCGAGTCCTGCAGAGCATTCCAACTTACGGCCGCTGAGCCTCGCGTGCTTGCGGCCAGCTTCTGCGCAGCTTGCGCTCCCTCCTCGTCTCGACGGCAAGGACACTGTACAGACTGTAGCTTGGTGTCGGGTTTGACTGTTACCTTCAAGAACTCTGTGCTCAGGTTCCTCTCCTGAGGGTTCCCATGGGAAACCGCCAGCAGAGCACCGTTCCTGGAAGCCAGCGCTCTCAGAACACCTGTCGGCACAAAGTTTCGTGTTTCTGGAGACCTTGCCGGCCCCAGAACGTCAAGCCAGCCCAACAAATCTTTAAAGCCCTGAACCGCATAGTAATTTAAGTGATCGTTAAAGGATTCAGATGTACATAGGTCGGCTTCAGGACGTTTCAAATTTCCAGCTTGGAAAAGGCTTGAGTACAATCCCAGCATGCCCTGTCTTTGGAGTATTAAACGTGGGCCGCAACGAAATTTCTCACCTGGACCACTGTAAGCCTTGATGGCTACAGGTTCAGGTTCGATGTGCCAAGCTTACTTATATGCGTGTACACTCCCTACCCAACCATCCTTCAAGTACACGGCATCAACATCCAGTCTTGCCAGCAACCTGCCCCTATGGCTCCCGAGCCTTCCGGGAGCCGGCCCCAGCGCTGCATCTCTGGGCCGACGGGCTCCCCAGTCTCAACAATCTCCGTCTTGTCCACGGCTCCTGCCTGAACCTGAGGAAGTCTCAGTGAGACGCAGAGTTTGACCGGAAAGAAGCCGGATCGAAGGAACTAGTTGAATTAGCGGAAGCCTGCACCCGAACGGCTTTGGTGTTCCTTGAAAAGGCTGGGACAGAAGTGCCCTTAATTCGGGGAAGCGAAGGTTTGGTCAGAGCTACTGAGTCTCAGCTCTCAAACAGTTGGGCAAACTCGCGACTGCGTCCGAGGGGTGCCTTCTCCGCAGTGGCTTGCATTCGCGAGGCCAGGGGCTGCTTCTGCTCGGATACCGTTGCCGTTAACAATGCCTCGCTGGCTCGTCAATCCATCTTTCTTACGTCTGCAATCTGCTAGGAAGTCGGCGCACCACGCCCTCGTTGCCTCCTGTTGCATTTTGCTGTCACAACAAGCACTGAGCCACAACAGCTTATCTGTGACGTCGGCGCAACGAAGGTTTGTCTGCAACTCAACAAGCACGAAGATCGATGATCCTGCAGCTGTGGATAGCTGTGGACCTGCCGGAAACATGTTGCACGAAAAAGCTTTATTTCACTGCTGCGAACAGGATATCAAGATGCCACAACATGAAGCAACAAGGAAATGCTCGATGGGTCACACGGATGCTCTTTTTCCCTTCTTTCAGCTGAACTAAACATTCTCAGAATTCGGTTGAACTCCCTCCACGACCAGATGGCTGGCATGCCGAGATCAGCAAAGTGCCAATAAGTGGCCAAGGAACGCATGTCCTTGACCTGTTGGCTGCGGCCCCTTGCTGGGCTCCATGCTGATCTGCAGAAGGAGACAGAGTATACAAGTGGTGCTAGAAATTAATGCTTTCAAACATCAAATTTATAGCTCTGGGCTGTCACATCATGTAGGAGAAGAGCTGGACACGCCTCGCAGAGGACACGCTTTGCAACCCCACTCTCGATGGCAGTTGGATCCGAAAAAAACCTGAGCCCCTAGCCCCTGAACCTCGTAACCATAAAACCCCCTCAACAAACCCTAAACCCTAAATCCGAAAAAAACCCTGAGCTCCATGCTCTAAAGGATCTACTTGTCCGGAAGCTTCTCGGTTGGACATGTCCTGGAATCGGGAAGGGAGGCCAGTTCTCTTCATAGGATACCTTTTAGGGTCCATTTGATAAGGGTTCCGTAGTATATTGGGGACTTACAGAGGCATCTCAGACGCTCCAGCGAAATCGAGATTGTAACCACCTGCATGCCTTCCAGTAGACAGCGAATCCATTCCTTCGCCAAACCCTAAGCCCTAAGCCTTCGCCTTCAACACGACGGACCCGACACTTCGGGATCTCATGCCTTCTCTCACTTGGCAATCAAAACAAAATCCACACACCAAAAATAGACAGGCACCAGAAAAACATAAGCAAGTCAACAACACCAAAACGCGGTGTTTGAAAGGTTTGGCCGAGTCCGGTGTTGCGGCGAGCTATCAGGAAATTTCAATTTGCAGGCTCCCGATAAGTGTCAAGCTATCGAGGAATTCCAAGATACAGGGTCCCGTCCCGCCGCGAGCTACTGGGGAATTCCATGGGCAGTTTTGCTTCAAGCTATTGAAGAAGTCTTCTCTGCTGAACACTGTTGGGTCTTGTTTTGCGTCAAGCCTGTGCGGAAATCCAGTTTGTAGGGGCCAGCCATTTCCAAGAGTAGGAGGGTCCTGTCTTTCGGAAAGCCTTTTTGGGAGCGTTTTGGGAATCACGTTTTGCGGGATGTCGTTGCGAAAGATCGCAATGCCTGAACCCGCCCCGCTCATTTGGTGCTTTGCAAGGCTTTGCAACAATAGCGGGTGGTGCGGGCGGGTGGGGGGAGGGCGCGACCCGCGCAATGCAAACCATGCTCGAACACAACAAAACCTATGATATCTATGATGCTTTGATGCTTCTCTGCCGACCTGTAGGAGGCAACACTCACACTCCGAAGAGTGCAATCTGCGCCAACTTTAGTCACCTGCGCCGGTCAAGCAGAAAAATCCAACGACGTTGAACCCCTGTTAGACACTGTACGGTTGCTGAGAGTGATTATTGAGGCTTGAGGGTTTAGTTTAGGGTTGTTGGAACAAGATCCTCCAGCACTGAATCTTGAAACCTAAACCCTAGGACCCTACATTGAGCAGCCGGTTCCCTTACAAAGTAAGCTAAGCTGTGAACCCTGAAGACACGAGGGTTTTGCTCTCCCTCTCTTGACAGGGTCCTTCCATCGTGCCCACCCACATAGCACAGCGCCCAGACCAAAACTGATCAGCGCCCGCAGATCCTGCATGGATCGACAAGTCCCATCCACCAGTACTACTACGACTACTACGAGGAGCACGACAACTACTACTAACACCACCACCACGACTACGACTACGACTACGACTACGACTACGACTACGACCTCGACTACGACTACGACTACGACTACTACTACTACTACTACTACTACTACTACTACTAGCACGACAATTACGACTAGAGGTACGGCTACGGCGATCACGACGACAACGAAAACGACAACGAAAAGGATACATACTTGCTACTTGCTACTCGCGACTTCCTACCCGTTTCAGCTCATCTTATCTACTACCTAGCCCGCTACGTAAACTACTTCCACACACAGACTACTGGTACTACTGGCATTACTGGTACTGCCGGTGCTACCGGTACTAATGGTACTTCTGCTACTACAGCTACTACAGCCTGCTACTACAGCTACTACTACTGCTACTACTACTACTACTACTACTACTACTACTCCTGCTGCTGCTGCTGCTACTAGTACTGCTGCTACTACTACTACTACTACTACTACTACTACTACCACTACCACGACTACGACTAGAACGACGACGAAGACGACGACGACGACGACGACGACGACTACTACTACTACTAGTACGACCACTGCTACTGCTACTGCTTCCGCAACTAGTTACTGCTAATACTACTACGCCTCTTCCTCCTCCTATTACTACTCCTCCTCCTCCTCCTCCTACTACTACTACTACTACTACTGCTACTACTCCTACTCCTCCTACTACTACTACTACTACTATACTACTACTACTACTACTACTACTACTACTACTACTACTACTACTACT